ATTAGTTGGAGGCTAATTACTTTACATCATTGCAGTGGTTTTTGTCATACATTGAAATGAATTAGCCATGGATTTACATGTATTCCCCATCCCGGTCCCCCCTCCCACCTCCCTCTCCACCCGATCCCTCTGGGTCTTCCCAGTGCACCAGGCCCGAGCACTTGTCTCATGCACCCAACCTGGGCTGGTGATCTGTTTCACCCTAGATAATATACATGTTTCGATGCTGTTCTCTTGAAACATCCCACCCTCGCCTTCTCCCAGAGTCCACAAGTCTGTTCTATACATCTGAGTCTCTTTTTCTGTTTTGCATATAGGGTTATCGTTACCATCTTTCTAAATTCCATATATATGTGTTAGTATACTGTAATGGTCTTTATCTTTCTGGCTTACTTCGCTCTGTATAATGGGCTCCAGTTTCATCCATCTCATTAGAACTGATTCAAATGAATTCTTTTTAATGGCTGAGTAATATTCCATGGTGTATATGTACCACAGCTTCCTCATCCATTCGTCTGCTGATGGGCATCTAGGTTGCTTCCATGTCCTGGCTATTATAAACAGTGCTGCGATGAACATTGGGGTGCACGTGTCTCTTTCAGATCTGGTTTCCTCGGTGTGTATGCCCAGAAGTGGGATTGCTGGGTCATATGGCAGTTCTATTTCCAGCTTTTTAAGAAATCTCCACACTGTTTTCCATAGTGGCTGTACTAATTTGCATTCCCACCAACAGTGTAAGAGGGTTCCCTTTTCTCCACACCCTCTCCAGCATTTATTGCTTGTAGACTTTTGGATAGCAGCCATCCTGACTGGCGTGTAATGGTACCTCATTGTGGTTTTGATTTGCAAGGAAAAGGCAGTTCTATTTTTAATTTTTAAAGGAAACTATAATTTTTTTTAAGAGCTTCCCTGGTGGCTCAGCAGTAAAGAATTGCCCTGCAATGCAGGAGACCCAGGTTCAATCTCTGGGTTGGGAAGATCCCCTGGAGGAGGGCATGGCAACCCACTCCAGTATTCTTGTCTGGGAGAACTCCACGCATAGGGTAGCCTAGAGGGCTACAGTCCATGGGGTCACAAAGAGTCGTACATGTCTGAGTGACTGAGTGGCAGCAGCAGCAGAATGTTTTCCATGGTGTCTCACCAACTTACATTCTCACCAGCAGTCACAGGGGTTCCCTTTCCTCCACACCCTCACCAACTCTTGTCTCTTGTCTTTTTGATGCAGTCATTCTGACAGGTGTGAGGTAATATCTCATTGTGGTTTTGATTTTCATTTTCCTGATGTTTAGCCATGCTAAGCATCTTATGTGCCTGTTGGCCATCTGTATAGCTTGTTTGAAAACACATCTGTTTGGTTCCTCTATTTTAAATCAGATTGTTTGATTTTGTTACTGAGTTGTATGAGTGCATATTTTGCATATATTTGAATATTAACCCCTTTTCAATGGTAAAGAAAATGACATTATGTGTCAACTCAGTAGCTGCTTACATTTGGATTATATTTTGACTCCTTTTAAAGTTCTTGCCATATACCTAATTTTCCTTAATAGTTAACTTAGCCAGTGAAATAAGAATCAACCTTATTGGTTTGCTCTAATGTAATTATGGGGAGAAATAAGAGATTTTTAAATTCTATTGCATAAAAATAACTCAGGAATATCATTTTTAGTTGACTGTTATAAAAATATAATAATAGGCTCTTTATCCCTGAATGAGGTAGAGATAGAATCAGCAAGACTCTACAGTTCTACTATGACAATTTCACATCACAAGCTATTTATGCTACTTGTGATTTTCTGAAAGAGATGCTAATAAGACTTGTAAAGTAGTGTGCTTAGCATTTTACTCAAAATAATGATTTCATTCCTCACCTTTTTTTATAATCAATGCAAAGTTATTAAAAGGAACAAGATGGGACGCTTTCCCTAAATGGGTGAAACTTATTAGAATACTTTCTAGACTGTATGATGTAAGAGGGAGAAACTGTGAAGAGTGGGGAGGAAATCTTTAATATCATGTATAAAATTATGTGTATGCTAGGCCCCCGATTCACAGGAGAATGTGTGCTACTCTGGTTTTAGTTTTAAGTGAAAAATCAGAGTAAATATGACAATTTATTGCCATGCTAGTCAGTTTTACTTGTTGTTCTTTTATCCAATATATCTATCCCTTTATATCTGTATCTATTTACTTACCTACCTAGATATTTTGGTCCTACTGGGCATTGAATGGAAATGCAGAAAAACATTGTGTCTAGTTTCTTTGGTCATTGCCTTTTCTACTTTTGCTTGCCTGATGTGGGTACCTATGTCTTCTTTAATGTGGGTCATCTCTGGTTTGAATTTGTGAGCCAGAAATGCCCTGATCATTTCAGGCATTGATCAGATAAAAAATCTGATCATCTGTGGTAGTTCTGAAAATGTGAATAAATGGGGATTAACTTCACACCACCTACTGCAATCAGACCCCCTGAAGATTTGAAACTAAATTGCAGAAGTGGGTGAGTGATGTATGAATATAATGTGATGTTTTACTAATGTTTCTTTGTCTTCAATACTTAGGGGCCTGAATGTTTGTGAAATAAGGCAAATTCTGAAAAATATTAATAATCTTTCTAAGGCTATTTTTGGTACACTTGTAGGTTTAAAACCATTCAGTACATTTGGGACGAAGACACTGCAATTATTTTGCTGATTGGTTGAAGCCTTGCAGAAGATGTTATACGAGATGGGATTCAAAGAACTGAAATTGAAAATTGGAAGGAAATACTATTATGGGATGGTTCTAGGCTTTGAGAAATGAGCAGCAAGACTCCATGTCTCACACGAAGTTATTTCATTAAGTTGTCCTTTAGGTATTAACCAAATTTTAGAAGTAGAAGCCAGAAAGATATACATATATTTTAAGTATAGGGTAAGAATGATGACTTGCAGGAAAAGCAAAGCAAAACAAAACAAAAACCCAAACAAAAAACAAACAAATACAACAAGTTAGGAGAGGAAATTATTACTTGAAAAGATTAAATATAACATAGCTGGCTTATGTTACAGTAGTTTCAATGTCAGGTACAAAAGAAAACATGTGCTGTGCTGTGCTGTGCTTGCTTAGTTGTGTTTGACTCAGCCCGCCAGGCTGCTGTGTCCATGGGATTCTCCAGGCAAGAATACTGGAGTGGGTTGCCATGCCCTCCTCCAGGGGATCTTCACAATCCATGGATACCACCCAGGTCTCCTGCATTGCAGGTGGATTCTTTACCAACTGAGCCACAGGGAAGCCCAAGAACACTGAGATGGGTAACCTATCCCTTCTCCAGGGGATCTTCCCGACCCAGGAATTGAACCATGGTCTCCTGCATTGCAGGTGGATTCTTTACCAGCTGAGCTACCAGGGAAACCCCGAAAAAAAAAAAACATATTTAGTTGTTGATTTCACAACAGGAACCATCAAATTTAGAAGTGGAATTTCTTAAAATGTTTTCATTCACTTAGCAAATATGTATTAAAGGTGACTCTTTATCAGGCTCTAGGTAAGGCAGTTCCTGCCCTGAGGAGCTCCTAGAAGAGGGTAAGAGGTGTCAGGAGGTGTGTCGGAGACCAGTGGATCCTTCCAGGGTGAAGGATGTATTAGTGGGTGGATGAAGGGAACATACAACTTGAACTTCTGCAATTACTGAGAGAGTTCATTGTATTTGGGATCTTTTGAAGTAAGACCCCCTCAAAAAAGAGCTTAAGTAGGACTTCCACTTCTTATTTGTATAGTTCAGAACTTGGAACTCTTTGGCACCTGTGCCATGCATGGCATTCAAAAATATCTGTATAGGCTAGGGTCTTGGATGCTCAGTTGCTTAGTCATGTCTGACTCTTTGCGACCCCCATGGACTGTTGCCCTCCAGGCTCCTCTGTCCATGGAATTTTCCAGGCAATGGAGTGGGTTGCCATTTCCTTCCCCAGGAGATCTTCCCAATCCAGAGATTGAACCCAGGGATCAGACCCACGTCTCTTGGATCTCCTGCATTGTCAAGCAGATTCTTTACCACTGCACCACTTGGGAAGCCCTTGGGTCAGAGTATTAATACCATCTTCAAAAGGTTGCTGTTCTTTGTTTTTCTTATTGGTTGAACTTTGATGTCATTCACTCATGCGCGCATAAGTTCAGAACCTTTCCTAAGCTCCTTTCACAGATACTTCTTGATGTCCTTGTCCTACTTCTTACAGATTTTCCAGTCTTTCACAGTCTTAATTAGGCTTATCGATTGATACTTGATATACAACAAGCAGCAAATGAGTCCAATTTATATTATGCATTCTTTTGGGAACTCTTGACATTTAATTATGTTTTAACCAATGTGTGTTTATGAGTTGTGTTTTCCTCCTTAAAGTTAGAAATAATTGGACAATAGTCTTAATATCTGTGGGCTTCCCAGATTGCTCAGTGGGTAAAGAATCCACCTGTGATGCAGGAGACTCAGGAGATGTGGGTTCTATCTCTGGGTTGGGAAGACTCCCCAGAGAAGTGCATGGCAACTCACTCCAGTAATCCCCTGGAGGAGGGCATGACAACCCACATCAGTATCCTTGCCTAGAGAATCCCATGGACAGAGGAGCCTGGCAGACTACAGTGCATAGGGTCACAAAGAGCCAGACACAACTAAAGGGACTTAGCATGCACATCCGCACAAATCCATATGCTGAAGTTCCAACTCCCAAATAGCCTTTGGGAGGTAGTTGTGTTTAGATGAAGTAATGAGGGTGAGGCCCCTATGATGAGATTAGTGTCCTTATGAGAAGAGGAAGAGAGAACAGAGCTCCGTCCCCCACCTCTCTCTCGGCCATGTGAGGACACAGCAAAAAGGTGAGTGTCTGTCTGCAAGCCGGGAAGAGGTTCCCCCCAGGAAGTGAGTCAGCCAGCACTTTGGTCTTGAACTTCCCCATCTCCAGAACCTTGAGAAGTAGATTTGTATTTTTTTACACCACCCAATCTGTTATATTTTGTTCTAGCAGCACAAATGGACTAAGAAAAGGAGCGGAAGATTTGTGGAGGTCTGGGAAGACTTGCCTTTGGTGATGAGAGTGTTAACTTAGGCAGGTTGATAAGAAGTCCAAGCCTAAGTCCCATTTAAGGAGAAGGTAAATACGTTTCTTTTCACGTTCTTTTGCCTTAGACACGTAGGCCTCATAGGCAGCAGTATCTCTTGTTCAAGGATATGCTTTTTCAAGCTCAGATTGTATGTTAGGGAGAAGGTCTGGATAAAACTTCCAGAGCCGTGAGCTCTGGGTTAACCTGTTCATTCTGACTAATTTCATGCTGACGTCATCACAGGATGTATGTTGCAGGAAAGGATCTGGGCAAAATTTTCACAGCCTTGAGGTGTTTTTTCTATTTTCAGCTGCTACCAGAAAAGTATATAATGCTTTGCTTAAACTAGTGAGGTGGGGTCTTTCTACCCTCTTCTGATGTCTATGTTAGAAGTTTTTTCTGTCACTATCACTTTAATAAAATTTCTACTACATAAAGCTCTGAGTGACTGAGACTGTCTTTAGTCCCAGAGTTAAATCTTCTTCTTCAGAGACCTTGAATCCACCAGAACACTGTAAGCTTTCTTCTATCATCTTGGGGGCTTTTCTGGGATCCCAAGACAAGGTGTAAGCTATCATCATGGAGGCTAAGCTATGGACCGGGATGGGGAATACATGTAAATCCATGGCTAATTCATTTCAATGTATGACAAAAACCACTGCAATGTTGTAAAGTAATTAGCCTCCAACTAATAAAAATAAATGGAAAAAAAAAAAAGAGAGAGAAGGAAGGGAGAAGTTGGAGGCTGTGAGTTTAGATAATTCTTCTGAGGATTTTTTTTTCCAGTAAAGGGCATGTGAAGGGGTTGGCTTTTGCTTGGAGCATGGAGAATTTACCTCTGGAAACAGGAGGGAAAACAGTATTTGGCACTGAAATTGGGATATGTGATGGTGGGAACTTGTGGAGGTTCTTTTGTGATTTGCTTTTACTCTTGAGCCATTCCCCAGTCAAGCACTGGCCACCATTATTCCAGTTTCATTGGAATAAACTGACTTTTCAAGTCCCTAATGACACCATGTTGCAAATCCAGTGGTGGATTGCTACAGGATTTTTTTCTTCTGAGACTACATGGAAAGGTAGGATACCCTGATAGACATTTGAAAAGACTATGGGCAGCCAATAGTGAGATAGAGAAAGTCACAAGAGAGCATTGTCCCCAGGGTTAATCTTTGTTCAACTGAAACTCACCTCATCCTCTCACCCAGTCTTTAATAAACTTGAATCTCTTCATTTGTATTGGTACAGATTGGTTTCCTTTAGGTAGCACACCAGCAACTTCTAGAAGTTATATACCCAGAGACAAGACTACTAAAGCTTTGAATGTAGATAACATGATTTCTTTCTGATTGCTATCCATAACTATTCAGTCATGCTGATTTCAAAGTCTTTAGATACATACAAATGTGCATTAAATTCTGAATCTGTCACTTACTACCATTGTGACCTTTGGCAAGTTGCTAACATTGTTTGAGCCTTAATTTCATCTCCTGAAAGTGTTTTATTTGTGCATAGGATTGTCTTGGGGATTAAGTAAGATATTTTTGTAAAGTGCTTATCACAGTGTCTGGTCATAAGGCACAGAATAGTGCTCAATAAGTGTGTTCGCAATTATTATTTTGTTATGGTCATTTTTAATAAAGGATGTTATGATGATCATATTATGCTAAGGAGAATGAATGATGTAAATATTTTAACTTATGGTTCTCCTCTCATTCTGGGTTTACTGGAGGATTAACATCCTCAGCCCCTTGGAGTTAAGCATGTTCATGGTTTACTTTTGGTTAATGAAACATTGAAGAGCTGGTGTGTGACTCCACATTATTTTTCCATCTCTCTCTCCTTCCTTGGTTATTGCAGAATCATTTATTGATAAAGGTGGGCCCACACAAAGAGGACTGCAGTCCTGGAGAGTTTAAGCCATTAAGATTTTGGTATTATTACCGAAGTATAATTATCTTACTGTGACTGATTCACAAACTCAGTGAAGGAAAAACTGGTATTGTAGGTGATCACTTCTTTGATGAGTGTGTCTGTGAGGAAATTTAGAATCTCAGCAGTGACCAGAGCAAATAGCTCTAGGGATGAGCAGAGAGTGGTTGAAATGTAATACTCTAAGGGCTATGGTGACCATGGGGTTTTTTTTTTTTTTTTGGCTGAGCTGTCTCTGAGTGGCATAGATATAGATGAAGGTCAGGCAGAGCAACTGTCCCAGTTTTATCCGGAGCACTCTCCAGTCACTCGGGGTATGAAGAGGTTCAGCACCCAGTAAGGACCAGCTTTCAAAATTTAACTGTTGTAGCCACGCATTCTGGGAAGCAAACTCACTCAGAAGGACAATGCAGATAGTGGAGTGCAGTTTATTACACCAGCGGGCCCAAGGCAGAGTCTCCTCTTAGACAAGGACACCGACCATTTTTTGTGAAAACCTTATATACCTTAAGTGTATAAGGTTCCCTGAAACTAGTCTGAACAAAGGAAAAAGAAAGATACTATTACAGGTAACCCGTGATTCATATGCCTTAAGCCTAGGTAGTTAACAGTGGACAATTATCAATAGGCCTGTGGTCATACCCCAATAAGCATAATAGATTGTATGATTCTATTTGGTTACACAGATAATTAGGGTATTCTTTTAGATGACAGAGAGCCCTGGGGCTCTTCCTTCCAGGGGCCTGGTTTTCCAGTTGGTATGTTTCCATAGATACTGGGCATATAGCTGAAAGTCCACAGTCTGGCCCAAGATGGAGTCCTGCTTTCAAGATAGAGCCTGTTCTCTTTCCTTCTTTATAACTACCTATAGAAAACTGTTAAGTTGCTCAGTCATGTCCGACTCTTTGAGACCCCATGGACTGTAGCCCACCAGGCTCCTCTGCCATGGGATTCTCCAGGCAAGCATATTGGAGTGGGTTGCCATTTCCTTCTCCAGCCTATAGAAAAGAGTTTAACAAATAAGTTCATCCCTACGGAGTGAACCAGAATGCATATTAGAAAAACAGGCAGAAAACCAGCTACTGAGCTCAATAAATATATATGATAAGTTTGGGGCAGAGGGGCAAAGTTTGATGGACTGGAAATAAGAGAAATGCTGAATTGTGCTATCATTTGGAATAAGATACTAAAAATGTTGCAGGTGTTTTAAAAACTTTAGACTCAAACTATCAGACAAATGAAACCCAAAGTCCCAGAGGAAGAAGTCATATAATTAAATAATCGAAAATTAAATCTGGCATAGATTTCACTTCTGAAATTTCACTAGAACTTAATACAATTTAACTAATTTAAAAATACTGTAATACAGTAATTAAACATGAAATTGTATAGCTTGCAAGAAGGGAAACTGAACCCTGCCAAGAAGTGATCAGATCACAAAAACTATTAATTTTATATTACAGTTATGCAGAAAGTTTGAAAGAAAAGAATCCTTAGAGATTTTTACTTGTCTGTTAGGAAGAATAAATTGATGGATGGAATCATGCGATTTGAAGATTAGTGAGCTGTAGCAAGAATATTACCAGTCAATAATGCCTACCTGCTAGGTGGGAAGGCCAGGTGTCTTCAAATTTCTTGTAAGTAGCTCCAGGTCTTGTTACTATGTGGGGCCTACTGCTTGTTTTTCTTTTCTTCTTTGGTTCTCTATGGCCAAATAAAATATCGATTTTTCTGAGATTTGCTAAAGAAATTTGTACTGTTGCTACTGCCCCTTGGTGTAATGGCTGATGTTTTCCATGGGCCAGTGTTGGTAGAGTGAGTTTATAGCAGCTGCACAGAAGAGAGAAATGCCCAAATAAGAGAGCTGAAATGAGACACAAGCTTATTTCTCTCTTTCATTAAAGAAGTCTAAGACTGGTACTGTGGCTTCATGGCCAGTAGGATTCTAGCTTTCCTTTGGGGCCAAGTGCCGTCATTTTAGTTGGCCTCCATCTGCAAGGCCTTTTCACTGCAGGCCATGAACAGGAGGAAATGCAGAAAGATGCACCAAAAATATGCTTCTCCTATCAGCTTCCATTAAAGAGCTTTCCAAGAGGTTGCATACAGCATTTCTGGTCACATTTCATTGGTGTTGACTTAGCCACATGACTCTGCCCAGCAACAAGGGGAGCTAGTAATTCCAGGCAGCAGGGAGCTCCCTCTACTGCTCTGCTAACAAAGACAGAGGATGGAGGTCAGAAGGTAAGTAGCTATCTGACTTGCACAAATGCTTCTGGGTACTTATGACTTCCTTGTACAACTCAGGGTTTTTTTCCTAAATAAAAAAGTATTTTTCATTAAAAATATGCAGATTCATTGGACAGCTCATGGAACATAGAGTGACATGAAAAGAAAAACATTAAATATTTTTTTAAATCACATAGTCCAGAAATAACACTACTGACATTGGTATATATCCTTTTGGAATTTCACATATATTATGCACTTATATATTTATATATATAAACTCATAAATATATTTATATGTTGTGGCTTATCAGTTAGTCAGTCAGTCAGTAGTCAGTTCAGTCACTCAGTCGTGTCCGACTCTTTGGGACCCCATGGACTGCAGCACACCAGGCCTCCCTGTCCATCACCAACTCCTGGAGTTTAACCAAACTCATGTCCATTGAGTCTGTCATGCCAGCCAACCATCTCATCCTCTGTTGTCCCCTTCTTCTCCCACTTTCAATCTTTCCCAGCATCAGGGTCCTTTCAAATGAGTCATTTCTTTGCATCAGGTGGCCAAAGTATTGGAGTTTCAGCTTC